GCGCAACGGCCAGAGACTCGTCGAGGTGGCTTCTGGCGCGCGCATCCTTCAGACGGTCAGAATATCGCTTCTGATCCCTGAATCCCAGCGGGTCACTTTTGGTTTTGGGCAGCTCGATCATGGTGTAAGCGGCATCGTCAAACGTCCAATCAAGACGCTCTTTTGCGGTCGCTTTGCTGTGATGGCCGCAATGGGGGCAGACTTTCTGGAGCTGGCCGAAATCCTTGACCAGAATCATCTGAGAGCACGCCTCACAGGTCGTCCAGAGATTGTCCGGAATGTCCCGCTGCAGAAGTCCCCGGATTTTTGGGCGGACATAATCAGTTAACCAGCTCATCTTCCCTCGATAAAGTGCTGACTGTACGACCTTGCTTTCAGAAAAGTCTGGTCATAGTCGGTTGGCAATACGGATCAGGTATCAATCTCACCATAACGTTTTCACCTGTCAAAAGCCATACCGCGCAGGTCGGATGCTGCGCGCATGCTGTCTTAAAAGCGATCTGTGCATCGGACGGTCAATGATCTTGACCTTTCAGATCACGTAGTCGGTGTCGGGAAGGCTTTGGTCCATTGAGATTGCCGGGTCATTGGTATGCGGTTTCCCCACGGGACGTGCCGGGTTGCCAACCACCGTGATATGGGGCGGCACATCGTTTAAAACGATGGATCCAGCACCGATCCGCGCCCCTCCCCGACGGTGATGTTGCCGATCACCTTGGCACCTGCACCAACAAGAACCCCACGCGCAATATGGGGATGTCGGGTGCCGGAGATTTTACCGGTACCGCCTAGTGTGACGTTCTGAAAGATGGAAACATCATCCGCTATCACAGCTGTCTCACCAATGACGATTCCGGTCCCGTGGTCAAAGATGATGCGGTGTCCAATTGTGGCGGCGGGATGGATATCAATGGCAAAACGTTCCGAGACGAGACTCTGTAAATGCTGCGCCAGATGTCTGCGATCATGTCGCCACAGCCAGTTTGCTACACGATAAGCCTGAAGCGCGTGAAACCCCTTGAAGAAGAGAAAGGGCGTGACATAATCGTGGCAGGCTGGGTCGCGCTCATAGACTGCGATCATGTCAGCTGCGGCGGCGCGTGCAATTTCCGGCTCGTCCACCAGACATCCGGTGACGAGTGCGGAGAGTACGGTGGACGACATGGCCCGGTCTGACAGCTTGGTCCCCAGGAGCGCCGCCAAAGCCTTGTCGAAGCTGCTATGGTCGCTGATCCCGGTTTTGAAGACACTTTGAATCAGCGGATCACAGCAAACATCGCTTTGCTGCAGCATGACCTGCCAGGTGGAAACAAGATCGGGCGCGTTCATGTCAGTCCCATCGTCCTTCGTATAAAGCTGGCTCTGAGCGGAGTGCGGGCATCCAGAGCCCGTAGCCCCGCACGCCGCAGAAGTTTGACGGCGGGATGCCGGGAGGCAAAACTCCGTTCCATGATATCGCAGATTGCCAGCATGGCCATATTATCAGGACGTGTCTGATGCTGATAGGCTTGCAGGAGCTTTGCCTCCCCCACGTCCTGCCCGGCATGGAATGCGTCAATTACAAGGT